TGGTGGTAGTGGCGTCGTCCAAGAGAACTTCCCACAGTGGAACATCTACACCCGTCCTGTCCAATATGGCGGCCACGTGTGAGCACCTGAAACGTGGTGAGTGAGCCTGACTTTCAAATTTTAGTTCATTCTCAAAAAGTTCAAACTCACTGCCATCACATCGATTCTGACTCATAGTGACTGCCTTTGGGTTCCTGAGGCGGTAAATCTTTTGGAAGTAGATTGCTCAGTCTTCCTTCTGCGGAGTGGCTGGTGGGTTTGAACTGCCAACCTTTTGGTGAGCAGTCAGGTGTGTTAGGCACTACACCACCAGGGCTCCATTTAGTTCATTCTAATAGCTTAAAATTTCAATAGCCCCACCACAATTCTACCCAAGTAAAATGGGAGAAAAATGTGGAACAGAACCTCAAATTCCTAAACAACAACAACAACAACAAAAAAAAAACAGACGTACTGGACTGGTTGAGGCTGGGAGGACCCCTTGAGTCTACCGCCCTGAGAGACCTTCAAACCCTGAACCAAAATTAACCCCTGAGTTCACCACCGTGCAGCTAAATAACAAACAGGGTTACAAAATAATAACTATCATCATGAGTACTGGGCTCCTTTACAAAAATCACCTAGAGGAGACCAAATGCTCAACAATGACTTCAAAACAAAGATGGGAATGTAAGGACTCAGGGAAACTAGATGAACAGAAACAGGACAACCAAAATGGAAATCAAGAGGCTGTCCACACAGTGAAAAATGTGACCAGTGTCGCTGAACAACCTGTATACGAATTGTTGAATGGGAACCTAAGCTGCTGTGTGAACCTTCGCTAAAAACACAATAAAATATCATTTAAGAAAAATCTCAATACAGTGGCTACTGTCTTGGTCAGTGCAGGTCTAGAGTGTGGGGGAGGGGTGGGTACCAGCAGGATCTGGGCTTGGGGGGGTGTGCAATGGGGGTAGACAAGAATTTGTTGCTCCCAGGGGTGTGAGGCAGATCTTTGTGTTGGACTGCATTGGGGGTTCTTCAAAAGGGATCTGAGGCATCTGTCCTGAGACCAGAAAAAGATGGGACCCAGGGGCCACCAACAACCATTCTGACCAGAGGCCACAACAAAGGTTCTGGACAGAATAGGACAGAAATGTAGCACAAACCTCAAATTCCTACACAACAACAAAAAGCCAGACTTACTAGGCCAGTAGAGACCGGGGGCTCCCCTGAGACAATCACCCTGAAATCCCCTTCACACTTGGGACTGGAGCCACTCCCAGAGGTCACCTTTCAGCCACGTAAGAGGTGGGCTCGTTAGATAAGCGAAACCACCGGGTGCTGTGCCCCTTTAAGTAACCAGCCGTATGAGACCCAAGGGTGGATATTCACCACGAAGCGAAGATGAGAAGGTGCGAGGGGGCAGAGACACCCGTTTAGAAACAGAGCCACAGGATGGGGACAACGACAGTGCTGACACATTGTGAGAAATGAAACCAATGTCACTGATCCATGTGCACACCAGCAACACATCCCTACTCCTAGTGGGTTTGCAAAGTTCAAACCCACTGAAAGGACTCCATTCCAGCTCACAGCGCCCCTAGAGGACAGAATGGAACTGCCCCACAGGGTTTCTCTTTACAGAAGCAAAGCCCAAACCAAACCCACTGCCATGGAGTAGATTCCGACCCACAGCGCCCCTAGAGGACAGAGTGGAACTGC